GCTTAAAGTCTTAATTTGCTTAAGGGAAGCCCAATTCGTAAGTCCTTGAAGTTGCTGGTCATGCTGACCTCAGGATGAGCTATTATTTCTGGTTGGAAGCTTGGTCCTGGTGACATGAAGATGAGCTAGGGCTGCTGGTGTGATTTATTAGTGAAGTGCATCAACCATTTCAGCTTTTATAATGCAAGTGTTGTATGCATTAGTCATATTGAATTCAGATTTTCACTTCCCCTAGGCCTATAGATAGGGATGTTCTCTAAGCTTGTAAACACACCCCAAGGGGGGGTGCTCTCAAACACTTCTCTAGAGCTCCCTTCCTTTCTTCCTCAAAGTTCTCTTAGTTTCCTTGATGTTTTCTTAGTTGTAATTTATTTTTCTTTGTTATGTAAATTGTTTTCTTAAGTTTTCAAGTTGAATTAGTTTCCATGTTTCAATTATGGTTTTTGTTCTTATTCATTATGCTTATAAGTTAATATGCTAGTTTGAATGATTGATCACCATTTTGGTTTGAATTAAGAGTATACACCATGCTTTAATTCGAATTGAACTATGAATAGGAAGAGTATGTATGGACATTCGACAACAGGGATTAGATACATGCTTGGTTGTTTAAATTGTTCTTCTATGCTTAATGGGTTCCTAATGCTTAATTTTAGGTTAGACAACAAATGATCAAATTAGGGAATTAGGAACACAAGGTTATGACCACACACCATGGCTTAATCATACTTTAGCTAGAATCAATCCATTAATCTAAATTGAACTTGGGAACTTATTTGCTTGAGTTACTTATTTCTTTCTTCCTTGTTTTATGTTCTTTGTTTTTGTTTCTATTTTGTGTAGGGAAACTAAATTGGATCATTCAATCACCAATCCCTGTGGAATCGACCTCGCACTTACATATGCTATACTACCAACGGTTCGTGCACTTGCGAGTATCACAAGTTGAGGATGCAGCTTAATCCATTTTGGTGCAGCTGAAATCCACACAACAGGTCTAAAGACCAAATTTTGGTTTGTCATAAGGAAGAGTCACTGGCAGAAGGTTGAAGGCTTTGCATCTATTTTGACTTGGCTACTCATGTGCTTCTGGTATATCCTTCTTCCTTCTTTTTATTTTTATTTTTAATCAAGTAGCTTTAACGCTTTGGCATGCTGCTTTGTCTTGTGAATTTGAGCAAACTTGTAGAGTGCCCTTCTTCGTTGTTTAGCAGATTGAGTTGGTGCCCTGTGCGGTGGCCTTGTGTTTATTTCCAAAGTTGGAAATTTAATCTTTGCTTGCACCTTGCACCAAGAGGTCAGTTGTCCTGCAACCTTTGCTTTCATGCTTGAACCTCTTTGCTATTTGTTGTTTTCTATGAGTTATGAAAATCATACAAAATGGGTCTCATGTTTTTCCCTTAGAGACCCCTAGATAAATTAAGCCATCCTTACTTTATCTCCTTTTGTTTGGTTTTGCGCAGACTTGATAGGAAGACTTGACTATATTTCTGTGAGTTCTGTGAGTTCTTATTCTTGTTTTGCATTTTTCCTTTCTTGAATTGTTCTTTAATACTCATCTTGTTTTGCATTGTTCCTTTCTCTCTGCTTGAAAATGTTCGATCTTTGCACATAAACTTCAGCTTCAACTGTACATTCAAATTCTTCATTATTGTCTTAATTTTGTTGGTTTGTTTGCTGAGGAAAAAAAACAAGGAGAAGTGAGATTCTTACTTTGTTGGATCACAAGAAATGGATAACACTACACAACTAAGCCTATGGTAGTATTAGTTTTCAATATAGTTGTGGGGTTGGTTTCTTGGGTTCTTGAATTGATAAATCATTTTCCAATACATTTCTCATCAACCAAACAGAAAGAGTAATTGCTAGGAAAGAATTTCCGCTAATGTTGTTTGTCCTAGTAGAGCTGAAATTTTCTCCTTTTTGTGACTTGCAACTTGCAAATAGTACATCAACTGACTAGATATTAGGGTACTTTTTACACATTTTAGTAGTTGATTTTTCAAATTTGCACATTTTAGTTCTTAAATGTGGTCATTTGTGTTAATGTAACTCTGTATTTAATGTGTGTAGCTAATTATGTTTATATATCTTAATTTGGTTTTAATGGAATTTTTAATGCAGGTTGCTCAAGTGCTTCTCACACTGCCATGCATATTCATTTTCCCAACTGGGTTTGTTATATGGGATTCTATTTCAACTTTTTTATGGGTTGGTGGGAAGCTGGACTGCTTATCTCAACAGTCTGCTATATGTTGAGTACAGAACTAGAAGGGAAAGAGAAAAGGTTGATTTTAGGAACCATGTAATTTAGTATACTCTATTATTTAGGAAGTATGTATGTGATAGGAATAAAGATTGATTAACTATGTAATAATATTGAATCTTCAAGTTTCATGAAATAAACAATTTTTGAGTGTATGTATTCATAAATAAAACAATATAGTCGGAATTCTAGTTAAAATTGTTGTAGACGACGGATTTACAATACAACAGTCGCCTTCATAGCTAATCAACGGCAATTTTTGGGCATTAATTCACATTCAAACATAATGGGAACTTCTTATACGACAGTTTTAATGTAAATCCCGTCATCTATGCATATAATCAATGACCGTTTTTAACACAATACTGTCATCTTTATGTACAATTAATGATGCTTTTTAATAAAATACCAACATCTTTATATTTAAATGACGACAGTTTTAACAAAGTACCGACGTTTTTACCCATAAATAATGACGGTTATTTATAAACCGTCGGTTTTACCCATAAACAACGACAATTTTTAACAAAAGATTGTCGTCTTTACATCTAATAGACTGCAGTTCTTTCAACAACAAAAAAA